ATAAATATGTACATATATATTTTTGTTATATATATATATATATTAGATATATTAAATACACAATATATATGTCTAATATATATAATAAATACTTATGATACATGTCTTATGATTCATGTATAATATATTGCGTGTATGTTTCTCTGCCTCTATATGTATTTTATTTTATCGATATATCCAGAAGTGTATAGGCATTGGACGTGCTTTTGTTGGACAGTATAAGCTGGGAGGCCTAGCTGTTTTATCTATGCGAGCTACTTATTTCCTGTCTGCCTTGAGCAGTTTTAGAACAATTTTCTTTGTACCTCTTATTGTTATCTTGCGCAGATGTGGAAGGTCATTTCTGCGTGCCTCGTTGATTCATTGACACTCATTATTTTATCCATGTTGTACTTGTATTTATGTGTAGTTTTAATATGTTCGATCTTAATTTCCATGTCTGCGTTTAGCTTTAGCTCTAGGTCTCGATCAAAATGAGGAATGTCATGTTCAAAGCTAAGTTGACTATTTTAACCTTGTTTCCCGTTTAATGAATTGTAATATTTGCTTCTGACTTGATTGTGGATATAGTTTTAAGGGTATCCGCAGGTGCCTTTCGTATTGCTCGTGTATATATTTTGTGTGTACAGGAAATATTGCGAATCAGAGGACAAAGTGTCGCAAAATACATGTATAGCGTGTGTAAACTTAATATATATATATCACTGCCTATGGTTTATGCACAAGAATGCAATGCCAAACACAGTATAGTCCCTATTAAATTCCATTTCTACAGTGCTTCATGCATGAAAAATGACATTCTAGCCATGCATTCTGTTTCGTTGTCAGACATGTGACACTTTGATGTACCTTCTAAATTAAATTGCATTAGTAACATTTATCCATCTCCAATTAGGGCCAAATTTAGCCATATCACATGAATGGCATTCGACGGTATACAAGGAATTGTCAGGTCCATCTCACGTCGTGTTAGTTTGTCTGCCTCATGCTAACTTCATCACACTATGATTTTTCATACAGCTTATACACAATGGATTTAGGAGAGATCATCGAGCCTCTTATTGAGTTTTACAAGGACAGTGCTCGACTATTAAGAAAATGTACCAAGCCCGATCGTAAAGGTAATCACACACGCGTGCGTAGTCTGGACAACAGTACTTCCTTTCTACTTCGGTCGTATCGGCAACTGTGAAGCTCAATACGTACGTTTAGTTTGTGAATGCTTGTTTGAATGTAGGTTTTCGTTTACATGCGCACTTTATGGTTGTTTGATAGTATCATCATAATTGGAAACATGACCTGAGTCAATCCTAACGTTGGTAAACGATTATGCAAAACCATTAGTTATATGTAAGCAATAACTTAACGCATATTACACAATTTCCCGACCCATCCATGGAAGCATATCTTGGGTCGGCATAAAAACCTCCATCTTGCCCACTTTTCTGTTAGAACGTTTGTGTATTCACCGTAAATGTACGTGCGCAAGCGGTACAACAGCGTGTCATCGTGACCTTGTTTGGCTACTATCAGTTCAGTGAAGCGCCGAGTTTAGGCCCCCGTTCACCACTCTCTACCACGAGGTGTATAGCTCTAGCTCTATTTGTATATGTTTACCTACATGGGAGCCCAAAGTCAGAGAGACATGCGATTAACCCGCGTCTCTCATCCATTGTCTTGTAGTGAGGTGACCCCAGATTCTTTTCTCTTCCTTTCCTTTCCATACCTTGCGCTTTGTACGTGAATGTCATGTACGTGCCGTTGTCTCATGCCTGGCATCTCATATGGGTTTCCTGTTTTCCTTCTGTTTTCCTTTACAGAGTTTGAGAAGATTGCTGGAGCCACGGCTGTCGGATTCGTAATTATGGGCGGCATCGGATTCCTGGTGAAGCTGATTCACATTCCCATCAACAATATCATTGTGTAAGTGGCCAGTTGTTGAATCAAGTCTTGTTGCATTGTATATGTGTTCAACATCATCACTATCATGATACACTCACTTCGATCATTATCGTCGTTTGTGTACGTATGCACGCACGCCTTTATCTCTCTCCCTCCTGTTTCTCTTTCAAAGTAACTTGATAGATGCAGTACTAATCCAACATTTGCGTGCCTTTTCACTATGGCAGAGGGGCGTGAGGCTACTTCGACCGTATATAATTCAAGTGAGAAGTCTGGTTGAAGTAGATAGTCTGTGTGGCACCTGTAATGGACATCTGGCCCAAGCTGACCCCCCGAGCCGTACGACTCACACCCAAGTCAGTGGGAAGTCAACGGAACTCGTTATATTCGCGAAGATTTGCGCAGAGATGCACTTGTACTCAAGATGGATGCTTGGAATAAAATAATTTTGCTGTGAATCTCCGATTTTGATTTGGTGTGCCTCGCACTAGACGCACAATCTTAGAAACACCGTGTCAAAGACTATAGACCATGCTGAACTAAACTAGGTTCCAAGCTCGTGAGTATGTCCGTAGAGTACAAATATCAGGTCTAGCCTTCCGCCTACGGCGTTAGTTGCGCTGTGGTAGTTATAATCATCAGCTGTTTGTTACGCTGCGAATAATGCGGTGGCTATGCTTAACAGCTGTTAGTTGCGCTGTGGTAGCTGTGATCAACAGTTGATTCACATGGTTTGTGAACACCCATCCAACTCATCGGCAGATCTTTTCGGCATTTTTCTGTGAACAACTTTCGACGAAGAATGCCCAATACTCTTGAGGTGTAGCTCTCGAGAGTAGATCAGGTCTTAGACAGTGTTAATATTGTTTTGAAATGATCTACAAGAACATAAATCGTGTACATGGTACCGGATATCATTTATACGACCACATAGTTGGTTTATATGGTACCAGATGTAATTTATACCAGCACATATATGGTTTGTATGGTACCGGTATAATTTATACGAGAACATAATGTTTATATGGTACCAGATATAATTTATACGAGAACATAATAAAGGTTTGTATGATCCCAGATATAATTTATACGAGAACATAATAAAGGTTTGTATGGTACCAGATATAATTTATAAGAGAGAATATTTATGGTTCATATGGTACCAGATATAATTTATACGAGAACATATATGATATGGTTTATATGGTACCAGATATAATTTATACGAGAACATATATGGTTTATATGGTACCGGATAGAAGTTATATCTGGTACCATATAAACCATGCATCGATGTGTATTCATACTATCATAAACCATATAGGGTCGTATAAATTATCTCTGGTGCCATATAAACCATAGATTTTCTCGTAGAAATTATATCTGGTATCACATAAACAATATATGTTGTCGTATAAATTATATCTGATACCATATAAAACATATAGGTTCGCTCGTATAAATTATATCTGTATGAGCCTATGTGGTTTATATGGTATATAAGAGTATAAATACACTTCGATGCAAGACTTGTTTGAAAACAGCAACGTATTCAGCTGCCAACAACGGATGGCTATCAGATCTGCTGTGCGTCAAAGTACTGCCGTATGCGATACCGGAGTCCATTCTACAAGACGATGACCAGTACGCTATAGTGCCCTTACTAGACAACCATGGTATACCATGCGAGAAAATGGTACAGCACACACACACATGCGTCGCCATATTCGACCGCGTTAGCAGGTACCACAGTGTAGTATTGAGGATAGAGTAAAGTGATTACGCAGAGGATTAGCGCAACCACACAGGCTCGAAAAACGGAGCCTTGTTATATTCTCGACTCCTTTGGAAGGCAATCATGGTTTCCCTATAATATCACGAACAGCACTTCCACATACATGGTACACCGGCAAAGCTGAATACTGTGTCTTGTCTATCAGATACGAGCATAGCTATACACTAACATTCAACCAGGATACAAGTGTAGCCATATGCAAAGCCTTCTCTGTGTCAGTTGAGTGGTCAGAAGACTTTATTTACGTATTTATACTCTCACTGTGTGCCTTTAATCCTGTCCATATATATAGATATATCTATATATAAAGCCTTTACTATCAGATACGAGCATAGCTATTTACAAACATTCAACTAGGATACAAGTGTAGCCGTATGCAAAGCCTCCTCTGTGTCAGTTCAGTTGTCAGATGACTTTATTTACGGATTTATACTCTCACTGTGTGCCTTCAATCCTGTCCATATATATAGACATATCTGTATATAAAGCCTTTACTATCAGATACGAGCATAGCTATTTACAAATATTCAACTAGGATACAAGTGTAGCCATATGCAGAGCTTTCTGTGTCAGTTCAGTTGTCAGATGACTTTATTTACGGATTTATACTCTCACTGTGTGCCTTTAATCCTGTCTATGTATATAGACATATCTATATATAAAGCCTTTCCTATCAGATACGAGCATAGCTATTTACAAACATTCAACTAGGATATAAGTGTAGCCATATGCAGAGCCTTCTGTGTCAGTTCAGTTGTCAGATGACTTTATTTACGGATTTATACTCTCACTGTGTGCCTTTAATCCTGTCCATATATATAGACATATCTGTATATAAAGCCTTTACTATCAGATACGAGCATAGCAATTTTTCAAGCATTCCACAAACAACAAGTGTTAGCCACATGCAAAGCCTTCTCTGTGTCAGCTGAGTTGTCAGATGACTTTATTTACGTATTTGTACCCTTACTGTGCGCCTTTAATCCTGTTCATGCGAATTACCACCGCATTGCGATGTGCGTCCAGTTTCTCGAGTGCTGCAAGGGTCGCTACCGCAGGACCAATGCCCATCAGACCCTCTTCATTCAATTCCTAATGTTGGTGTAGCAATTGCGGGGCAAAATTGAGACGCTAGAATTCTTCCAATGCCAATATTACAGATCACTTTTTAAAATTAGTTCCGAATTTATATTGGCACACTGTGATGCATTTAGGAATGTTATTGGGTTTTGAAATTGTAGGTATTATAGAGGTTGCACCGAAGGGCTAACTATGTGGTTGTAATCTTTGCAGGGTAGTTATTGGCGTATACACAGATAGTTCCGATCTGATGTCGCCTAGCTAGTTGCAACAAACACGCACAGACTCTTTTCAGTTCATAGTGGTGCAGACTATAAATAGTATCCAATCATGAGACTCTACCACACTCAACCAATACTGGAATGAACGCATGTTCTTTTAGTGCAGTGTCCACGGCGACTCATGCAACACACACAAAAGCGATTTTCGCATAGACTTTGTCAATGTAAAAAACAGCATGAAGACAAACATCCAATAAAAAAACATATGTACTCGAGGACGGTGTTGTCAAGCTTTCTATTGGTGTAATCCAAAGCGAAATAGAAGCAGCGGCCAATGAAAAAACGAGTATAGTCACGGCAAGCTACGCCAAGTAAAAAAGACCACAAATATATCAAACGACATGCACACGAGTATATTTACATATACACATCATAATTCTAAGTGCATGTAAATATACGCATGCATATGCACGTAAACCGATCCTAGTATGTTTATATACACTGGCTACAATATATACCCACTCAATTGTCCACGGTACACATACAGTCATACACCCACCTGCATTGTGATATAGTTCTGGAAGGTGGAAGTGCTCACACCGCTGTACATGCGTGCGTAGCCGTACGTGGGCAGCGTGTGGTTAGTGCCAGACGCATAGTCTCCGCAACTGCGCAAGAAAACGGACAAGAAGGTTATGAGAGGGTTGAGTGGGAGGGTTGAGTTTTGAGCTAATGAGATAGGAAGTTCTGTACTAGTGAGATAGGTAAACTGGATTAGCGTGGCATATATACGCAATTTTTTATTACTTGCACGTAGCCGTTGATTCTGCATGGGAGCATGACTACGACCATTGTGGAAGGCTCTGCGAAGTAATTGACTGACAAGAAGCCCTAGTCACGATTCAGTTTCCCCAATAATATGGGCAAGCGCCAGAATTGCGCCGTATGTACTCGAGGATGCCCACTAAAAACATCGAGACTCGCAAATGACAATGCACACACACGCACAACCAACGATACACACCTCTCGGGCGAGTATGGGCCTAGGAACACCGATCCGGCACACTGCACCATGGGCACGACACGGTTGTAGTCTACGATGTTGACAATCAAATGCTCGGGTGCGTACTGGTTGCTGAACGCCATAGCGTCGGCCAAGGTGTCGACCCGAAGGGTCAGGCTCTTGGATAGGGCCACGCGGATAATGTCCTCACGCGGTAACAGGCACGTGAGACGTTCCAGATGAGCGTCTATGGCGCTGACTTGCGCATCGGTCATGTCCACAGCAACCAGGATCACCTGGCTGTCCACGCCGTGCTCGGCTTGGGATAGCAAGTCAATGGCGACGAATTCGGCATCGGCGTTGGCGTCGCAGATGACCATCACCTCGGAAGGACCCGCAGGCATGTCTATGCTCACTGCCGCATTGGCGTCGTTCTGTGGAGAGGGCGAGTGGGATGGTTGGAGCCACGTGTGGGTTAAGTACGCGGCGTGGGAAGGAAGGATGGGCGAGCGAGAGGTGTACTGGTATGGGAGTACTTTAGGCGAGTTCTGAAACCCTAAACCCTTGGAGGTTCGGGGATAGGGTTTAGGGTTGATAGCGCATGTGGTGAGTGAAGGGGATGTACCTGGACATACAGGCTGTGGATGGAGTGAGCGAGACAGACGCTTGTCGTACAACTGTCAGAGTGCAAAACATATACCGATGTGCAGGGATATACGCACAGATATGCCATTCAAGCCGGGTTCGCGATATCTTTCGAACAGATAAAGACAAAAAATGTAAGTGTTACTGTCAGTAGCTGCTATATACTTTTAAAGGTACATTTTCATAGTACCAAGCGCACGGCCGCTGACAATGCTTCTGTGTTTGAAAGACGCACGCACATGCACCCGCACAACAAAACACATACTGACTTGGCCAAACATCTCGGCGCAGTCACAAAGAAATGATTGACCGCTCTGCAGTTGTTGTCACACTTTCCGCAAAAGGTACAGGTGTGTAGTAGACACACAGGCATGCATTTGTACTGGGATACTCACACAGGCATGCATTTGTACTGGGATACTCACAACTAGGCATGCTACTTGTTGTACGTCGGGACTACTTCCAACTAGAGTACGTGTACGCCTACTTTAGGTAACGTTACGGGTACGTTAACTTA